ATACTGCCAAATGTGGTCAAAATTTGTTTATATTAAAAGTATGCCTACTTAAGTATTTATCCCTTCCAAACATTTATTTATTTTATTATTATTATTCCCCTAATTAAGTAAAATACTGTCTGCTCAGTGTCTTCACTTCTTAAATATCTTCCCACCTCATTTACCATCGTTTTTGTTCTGTACATGTTTAGCTCTAATTAAAGACCATATTTGGGGTGGGGATTTTAATGGTCTTTAACAGATTTGGTCTTTATTTAGACAAATTATTTTTATATAAATAAAAGATAGACTTCAATTGGGGGCTGCAGAAATGTGATCCTTAATTGGAGGTGTCTTTAATTAGAGGGAGGACATTTGATAGTCTTAACATGGGCTTTACACACTAGTATGCCTACCCAGTATGCGCTGCATGCTTGGTGTGAGGTAAACACAAGTACAAATGTCCTCTCTGCTGAATTCTTATAACTGGAGCATGAATCTCCCTTAGCAACTAAAACATGAAAATGCACTGGAGTCATCAATGACAATACACATAATATACCTCTGACAAATATGTCACAATATTCAAAAAATATTAAGACACAAATTTATACAAGTTAAAACATCTATGCTTAGTACCAGTAGTAAGCCCAAAACCATTTTCATGGGAAAGAGGGGGAAGGGGATTTCTTATAGGCCAATTTTAACTCAGATGTGTTTCTTTAGGTTATGATAAAATACTACTACAGTAGTAAACTGGTCAAGAAGGTTTGGCCAAAACCCCCGTTACAGGCCTGATTAGTTACCATGGACACCCCTAATTTAGGTCTGCTTTATTGGTTTAGTGTAAAACATTTATTTATAGGATCAATAATTTTACAAATCAAGATCCACCTATTCATTATTATATCAAATATTTAAAATAAAACAATTGACAAAATTCTAATTTAAATTATTATTTTTTTGGCATTTCACAAAAATATTGGTCTAAAGGAATGGAATAGAATAAGAGAATGGCAAAGAATGTTCAAGGTTATAAATATTTTAAGACTCCTATTGTATTTATGCCAATACACACCAAATAATTACTATACCAACTTTCCACTAAGGTGCAATTGAATTCTAACCATGTTAGTGACTATCAATCAAGTAAAGTAACTGACACGGACTTATCTATAATCAATACAGTAATGACCAACAAATACAAAATGATAAAAGTTAAGAAAAAAAATTGTAGTCGGGTCAAGAAAACATTGAAATAAAAAAAAGTATTATTTTGGGTTTTCTTTTATTGTTTTAATTTACAGAAACTCCATGTATAAAAGGACTAACACTGTCAATGTTCCCATGCCAAACATAGAACCAATTGCTGAAAAATGTTTTTGCCCTATTTACAATCCAGGTTTTAGGTAAGGAAAATTATTCTTTTTAGTAGCCAAAAAAAACAAAAACAAAAAAAACATTGGAGGCGCTATTACTCTTCATCGATAGTTCTGATCTTTCCTATAGTCTAACGCTTGGTAAAATGTTTACCTGTTATGGGCCAAGTGTGTAGGAGGAATAAGAATTAGTTAAGCATGTACTTATGCTCACTCCTAAAAAGGATGCTTCTCTAATCCCACATTTCCTCTGTTATCATTTCCAAGCTCTTGACAATGAGCTAGCTGCACAAGTAGTCTGGTATCACTCAATTACCAAGTGACTTATTGTATGTAAATTATCCATCTTCCCATCCTGGGTACTTAATACAACTTATTCCAAGTTTTTTTTGTTTTTTTTTTCACTTCATTACCCTTTCTTATAATCCATATTTATGAAAAAATTAATTAGAATTAATTTCACAAATTAACGTACTGTACCATGAGTAGGCACTGATAGCTGCTGCAGGACTCGAGGGGACTAACTTAAATTTTGTTACTGATATTACAGTCCAGCGCAGAGTGCTCTTTCCGAATCAATGGAAAAAGTATGGCAAAAGGACGAAAAGAAACCACATGGATAAACACAATTGAAAGGGACACTAAAAGAAAAATAAATAGGTCTATGCACATACTGGCAAACGACTGCTCGATTGGGGAAGTCTTGTTGAGTGCGCTATATTGCAAGATGTTTAGCATTAATGATGAATTAATATTAAACGCAGGCTCACACTCGCATTATTTAATCCTTTAAAGGAAATTCGACCTTGCTACATGTATACATCAAAATATGTTAAACCATTAAAATTGTAAAAATTAGAAGAAACTTATATTTGGTTGACAGAATTTTGTGGATCAATCCTTTATGCTACTGTACCACCAAATGTACTGATTGTAGTAGAGAAAGTAGAGAAATATAAAAATTACAAGAATTATTAATATACTGTATCATACCTCCATGCTGTTTCTTACCCAATTCTGGAGATATAAAATAAAAAATGATAAAATCATTTAAGTAACAGCAGCAAAAAAGAAAAAAAGAGAAGTGGTTGGAACAGAAAACTAATTAATTTTATTACTTTGTCCCATTTACTGTTTGATGAGAATTCCATTTATACCATTTGACCATTAAACTTTTTTCAACCTTCAACTTGCTGTAATTATCAGTGCTCCTTTCATCAGTTTGAGTCTCCAACAGGTTGATGCTTGGAAGATTTGTTGATGCTAGGCTAATGAAGTGAGAGATAACTCTTAAGGAGCAGGTGCCACAGGCTGTCATTCCTCAGGTCTGTTGGCCCCATGTTATTTTTCTACCTAGGCCTAAAGATCAAGCCAGCATGGCACAATAGTGCCTGGTGATGTATTAATGAAGAAGACAATTCAGGTATCTGATTATGTTGTCAAGTTACATTTAATAAAACGATTTGAATATTAGGAAAGGATTATAATCTGAAAGGCGCCATTATACTATAACAAATACATATTCAGGTAGGTAAATATAGCACCTCTGAAAACGTACATCATCGTCATTATCATCATCATCATCATCATCATCATTCTCGCCATTTAGTGTATAATATCAACATCGTGGTTCCAAAAGAGACAGTAGTCATGTATTCCTTTAAACAATAAGCAATTAGTAGAGCTGCGCATAGTAAACTAGCGTAAAATTATTATATGAAGGTTAGATTGATTGCTTGACAACATTCTCTTCTTTTAATATTACTTTTGATAATCAACTGTTGTAGCAGTCATATGCTAACATGCTCCTGCACGCGCTAACAAACATTTAGACGAGACGTTACACAACAGTTCAGATACGATGAATAATTATTTTATTGCCGTGTGTGAAGAACTTGTAATGCTATTTTGATTGATATTTGTCAAAGAAATAAACATTTCTTAAAGCATTTGAGAAAATACTGCAGGACCCAATCACTTTTGGTCGGTGCAGACAGGTAAAATCGTATGATTTCTTGTCTGGGCTAGGCTACGATCTAAGCCTCGGTGGACTCCTGCCTAGGCCTACATCTAATTTCATTCCTTGAGTCTTTAAAATAGGTCCAATATTCCTATTAAATGTTCATACTTTAGTTTATTAGGGTCCATTTGATTCAAGGAATTCCTTAATTGTTCATACTTAATATTGAATTTGAAGTAATTTTCTTTATTTTTCAAAACTAATTTTTCAATTACCACTTGCCAACAAACAATGATTGGGCAACTGTCTGCCTTCTCTTTCTGCAGGTGTGCGCCGTAGTCCTAGGTGTAAAAACACTAGCCTAGAATTCATTGCGGTGTACAATATATACAAGTTGAATTATTTGCACACAGACCTAAAAAAGGATCAAGTGTGCCCTATATGAAAAAATATTGCACTGTTGGGGATAGACAAATAACACTGGGAGTTGCAGTGATGACATCACAATTGACTTACATAATCATTATCATAATTATTATTACTTTATCATATCACTGATGTCCCCCATTTATGGAATAAAAGTTTTATTTCGTGAGTCATGGTTCATATGACAGACCAGATATATTCCAGCTTACATTTCTGTGACCTGAAAGCACCGTTCTGATTGGATGATAAGTACCAGGATTAGATTGCAATTGGTTGATGATCCAGCATTAGCTCAAAGCTATTGTGTTACCATGCCGATGACCACATCTATCGCTGTGGGGCACGCTACGAAAAATGCATGCACAATGGCTATTGATAAAAAACATATTTTGAAATATTTGTGTTGCTTGTGCAAGAGTTATGGATCAGTACATTCCTCCCTTAGGAGTTGTTGATTCAGTCTCAGAGAAGTAGGTTTAGCGAAAAGCTGTCCTAAGAATCACTCTGTACAGAATAGGCCTACTAGAGACAATATTCATTTCAGTTATTCAAGCTTAAAGCCAATAAATAATTAGATTATCATCCTAACTCACTTGCAGGAAGGAGGGAGGTTTATATGTCTTATTATTTATTTACTCAATTTACTTTGCAAGCAGTAAGAGTGGTCAGAATTGAGTCAATCTCTCTGCAGTATTTGTAAAAAATACTTTTATTTTATTTTATTTTTATTTATTTATTTTTATTTATTTAAAAAAAAAGATTTATTTTATTTTTAAAAAACATTTTTTTTTTAAATTGTGCAGCACTTCTATTTAAAGTTCACATATTATTTATTTTAACTTTCATCACAATAGAATGTTTTCCATTTATTTTATTATTTAAAAAAAAAAGATTTATTTTATTTTATTTTTATTTATTTATTTTTATTTATTTTAAAAAAAAAATTATTTTATTTTTAAAAAACATTTTTTTTTAAATTGTGCAGCACTTCTATTTAAAGTTCACATATTATTTATTTAAACTTTCATCACAATAGAATGTTTTCCATTCTATATTATATCATTAAGGAATTGTATGCAAGATGATCATTATCATAAATTAAATTTGTACTACTCTAATAATACTCTATTTGGAAAAAAAAAAAAAAAAAAACTATGTTCTGACTTTAAAACAAATAAAATAACTAGAACAATACCAATTTTCTAACAGAAACAATGGAATCAAAATTTGAACAAATTCTAGGACTCAGAAAGTGTTGATTATTTAATACAGTTTGTTTTGGGGCCTTATCTTCATTTACACTTTCAATATATAAATTATTACACAATATCAATAAACAATGCAAGGAAAGACATTACCAAAAAATATCATAAATGTATGGATGATCAGAATTGTGTCCATGAACTACAATTAGCTGACAATCAAAGGGAAGTCGGAGCAACTGAAGTTAGGTAAAGTTTGTTAAATTTATGTAAAATTGTTTAAAGTTATATTTAGTTAGAAATTTAATTTACCGTAAGTAAATTTAGTTAAAGTGTTGTTAAAGTTAACTGAAGTCATGTAAAGTAAATTGAAGTTAAGTAAAGCTAGTTAATTTTACTAAGGGAAATTAGTTAAAAATTAGGTAAAAAATTTAGTTAAACAAAATTAAATAATAATATAAATATTAGGCACAATTTAAAAAATAAGATTCATTTTAGTTATGGGCAATGTTGGTTAAAGCAAAGTTAGTTTCAAACAAGTTAAATAATGCTGCTAAAGTTAGTTAAGTAAAGGCCTAAAGTTTGTTTATTTTACCATAAGTTAAAATTAAATTAAGATAAAGTTAGTTCAAGTAAATTAAGTTTTTTAAATTAGTTTAAGTAAGTTAGTTAATTTAAGTTAGTTGTAGTTAATATATAGTAACCAATTGTCTGATTTTTATGTTGAGGCATAATTACATTGAATTTTGAAAGCTTGGAGGTGATTCTAACTGTCACAGTAGCATACAGAATATAAATTTGGAATAAAAGATTACCTAACCATTATAAATTAAGAATGCATCAGAGATGAAAAGTAAATTATATCCTACTGTGTATTGGAGAGTCTAAAGAACACACTCCATATTAAGCAATTGAAGAAAGATGTACTGATATGTAATTTTGAAATAGTTTTATACAATTGAATACATATTCAGCAAGGATATATAATCACACACCACCAGGGATGAGCCATCAACATAGATACTTTTTGAAATGTCACTGTTTTGTTGTCACATAAATTTCAGAAGCAAGTTCCTTAAATAAATCCAACACATGTTTTACAGGACAATTGTCAGTTCCAATTGCTGTTTCTCCATGGTTTCTCAAATCCAATTTTCCTGTGGAAGTGTCTGGCTTGACAAGGAGTCCTCGCTCAGCATTAACTACTTAGATAGCAACTTTAATTCTTGTTACTTGAAACGGTCCGTTGGCAAATGTGAGGAAAATCAATTTAGATGTTCATTTTGATAGTTGAGGCAACCGATAATCTTGTTAGAAGCTCATGGACACGACAACTAACTGTGTAGTCCTAAACACATCTAGATTTAAATTTTCAGGTCACCTTCATCAGTGATCAGATTTAAGGAAACATACTGCTTAAAGATCTACCTGTACCATCTGTCTGAATTTATCAAATTACAGTATATTCAATTGTTAACTTTGTATATTTAAATATATTATTAGTTATAAATTAAAAATTAGAATGAAAAGAAAATTTCCTCACCACTTGTTGAACATAAACTATATTAAATTTCCTGTTTTCTTTTGCATAAATCTTTTGTGAATAGGCTGTTATTTAATTCAGTCTAATGAGTTTTGTAGTAAATTATCAGTGCATTAGTAAAAATGTAATTATTTTAAAATAAACAATATTTTTTATTGACCTTTGAGGATTTTTTCATATACTTCCGCCAGATATCAAATATAAACTGAACATTTTTTTATGAATTGCTGAACTCAATTTGTATATATATAACTATTGCAAAACTTAAATTTCTGGCAACAAATTTTATTATTTTTATAGAAAAATGTCTGTAAATCTATTTTTTTTGTTGTTTTACTTTATCTTTGCATTCAGTGATAAATTAAAGGATTTATTCAGCCTGTGCCCCCACCCCCCAAATTTTCAAGATTAATAAAATAAATGGACAAGAATAGAAAATGATTTTCAAATTTAAGTCTGAGTGCTATTTCCAGCCATCTAAAGGTGTCATAATAATAAATTTTCTTACTCAGCCCCAATCACGGTGCGGCTGAGGTGGCCTACATTTCATTTATTTATTCGACCAATACACATTACAAAAGGTACAGTACAACAAAATTTCCCTCCCTGGGCCCCCGCTATTTAAAATTCCTGTATCCGACACTGGCCTTCATGCTCATTTTGTGGGTGGCATTATATCTTTTTAAATCAAAACTGGTAGAAGTCATTAATAAATACCATTGATCTTACTCACATTTTTATGTTTATTCTGTAAAAGATAAGAGACCTTATGGCCTATGGCATTTGCACCTCACAAGTACTGGCAATGTAATGTTCTACCATCCTTATCAGCTGTTTCCTTGACTATCTAAAATGAATGCAATAAATTCCAATTAAAAGAAGTCAATTCTTCAAAATGTTTATTTTAACATATTTTGTTGTCAAGTAATGCCTGGTATTTAATTCCTTCGCTCATTTACTAACATACTCATTTAAAAAATTACTTACATGTTCGTTCATTTGTTCATTCAAGAACTTGCTTACTTATTCATTAATTTATTTAGTCAATTACTAATTCATTCAATCATTCATTTGTTTACTTGTAAAATCACTCATTCATTTGTTTACTAGTTAAATCATTCATTTTTATTCTTTCATTTACTTTTTCAATCACTTATAAAGTTGTTTACTAACACATTCATTTATTTACACACTTATTCAATTTATTTGCTTCACTCTTTCATTTACTGACTTATTCAATGACCTATTGAGAGAGCAGCTTAGCTCAGTCGGCTAATCTGGTGGTAGCCACTGTGTGTGCGCTGAACCGTGGAGATCTCTAGGTCCCCGGTTCAATTCCCATCGCTGCCTCTCCTTGTGTTTCAGCTAGAGGGCTGA